TCTCGTTCTCTGCTGTGTCCCTCCGGATATTATGGCTACTGTTGAAACCGTCCCCTAGTCGGGTCCTGCAGTTGGCGTTTTCATTGAGAGTTGTGCCTCCACTGAATTGTCATTAGAAGGTGCTAGTATTCCCACTGCTTTCAGACGAATTTCTGTTGGCAATCTGCAACGGAATTTAGTCCAGTTCTTTAGTAGGGTTTGTGTTGTTAGTTCTGATTGCACCACATGTCTTAACAGCCTGGAACCGCACCCCTTATAGTTTGGTGATATGAGGATCCTTGACAACGAGGTAACCACGACATTTTCCCTAGAAGGAGCCTCCCGGATGTAGTGCCATTGCTCGTGGTCGTGCATCTGAGCATCGGCGGAAGAGGAATCAGTAAGCTCAGGAACACCGTGAGCACTCACTGTTTTCTTATCTTGGCTTTTTCTGCACCTCTCTCTGTTAGCGTGATCCGCTGAACGTTCTTTTCAAGGACTTCTAGGTAGTATGTGCACTCCACTTGGGTCGTTGCGGAGACGTTTCGCAGACAGCAGAACGGCCTCTGTCTCGTCCGCCGAAGTTAGTGTTAACCGAAGTAACCGGGGTTCACAGTAGTGCAACGCGTTTGAGTGACAAGAGATTCTTTTTTCTGTCGTGGAATTAACATGGACACCGATCGACGTACAGATGGAACCCCACTGATGTCGATCGTCCGTCAATCTATCCTTAAGTGTATTGGATTTGGATTCGAGGACATTTGTGCACAGAAGGTTAAGGGCACCATGGTTGCGTCTGGTGGCTACTGGTTTTGGTTTGGAGGCTTAGTATATGGTGTTTTTGGTGAATTTGTGAACGGCACTGATGGGTGCCATCCGTGCTGCGACACTTTACTTTTCTCTAGTCCGGGCACAAATGTTACCTGTGCTCTTTCCGGTGTTTGCTCGGCGGCAACCGATGCGTACGTTACCGGGTTGTTTAGTATGGCTGCTTGACTGTAGCTTACGGTCTCATGTGTAGCGAACAGACTACAAGGTGCAACACATTGCACAGAAGTTGAGGCAGGCGCGCTGCAAGCAATGTTTTTACTTATAGGAGAGCGTGAGAGAGAATGGAGTTGGTGCTGCCGGAGGCTGAGTCGTTGGGTTAAGGTTGGGACGCCTGGCTCTCTTCTTCGGCCTGACTATTGAATTCGGGGTGTTATTTTCACATACAAGTGCAGGTCCGTTTCATCCCATGGGCGCTCACCAGTTGCTCGACCGCTTCTGTTAGTCTTTCCCACTTGTTCAGTAGCACAGTTAGAGAGCTAACAAATGGGATATGACTACATACTTGGCAGAACCAGAAAGTCTCCGCTGTGTTAGTGCACCGTATTTTTTCTTCGGCCCTGTTCCAAGGAGGTAGTGTGATAGGATTTCATACCCATGCTACACACCAGATCATTTGTACCACTCCAGCACCTGAGCTGCACTTGCTCTTCATGCATGTTCACAGTAGGCGTGCAGTTTTAAGGTCAGGCGTTGGTCAGTTCAGCTTCCCCCATCAGGGTAAGCGTGAGTCGGCGTGGCGCGCTGGCTGTCCCCAGTGTTCCTTTGTACGCACAAGTTGAAGTGTTAGTCGGTGGATCGATCGATCCGATGTCCGGTTGGTTTGGTACCCAGTAAATGAAACTGCACAGCGGTGAAACCCGATCATGATATCACAGATTCGTTCACGGACGCGTTGGGAAACGCCGGGTTGGAATGGGCTTCAGCTTTTTGGACTGCTTTGAGGATTCTGCACCGAATGGTGGTACACAGAGGCGCGATGGGCACAAAGTGAATGCGTTATCCACTTGTGTTCAGTCGCGGATGCCCATCAAATCGGTTAGTGATGGTTTAAACTTTAGCTGTATAGGATAATTCAACGTATGATAGATTAATGTGTAGCGCTGGTGAATCCGGTTCGAGTGAACGTGCAGTGACTACTCTGCGAGAAGATAGAGAGATGTTAGAGAGGATTATTCTAAATGAACTGAGAGCACGCACTTCAAGAGTGTGATCCACAGTGACAGTTCTGTGATCCACAGTGACAGTCGGTATTACAGTCGGTTGTAGCATGTGGCTATGATAAACTGGTGACCTTTCTGTGAAGTGTTATGGATGAGTTTTAGAAGTTGACGGCAAGTTTGGTTTGGATTTTTAGGATCTCATACACTTTTACGTGATCGCTACGTAAATGCCGATAACTTCTGCTGTACATTTTTAGAGTTTCGTGTCCATTATCTTTCTTAGTGGTAGCTCTTCCTTATGGGTTATATAAGTAAGCCATCAAGCCTTGGAACCGTGTTTAACCTTGGTCTAGTGTATGCAAAGTAATCAGCGTTTATTAGCTCTTCTTAAAAGAATTAAAATGTTGTCAAAATCTTTTTGATTGATGGTAGCTCTACTTTCTCGTTTTCTATTCTTAGAAATTTTGTCTCGCTAAGTTCGAATGAATTGTTCTTTTCGATGCAGTCTGACTTAACTCTCAGGACTATACCGGCTCCTTTATCCACGCTAGACAACCGCACACTAAATTTCCTAAGGCACTCCGTTAACTACATAGCTTTTCGTAGCATCATCTTTCCGTTCCGGATCCGATAGGTAGTTGCCTCTTATCTGTTTGCGGTTCAGGTACAACACAAGGGGTAGCATTATTTCGGTCTCAACACGCAGAAAAAATGTTTGGTGTTTGTCAGGAAAAGCAGACATTGTTTTCTGTCGTAGCTTGTTCGAAAGATTACACTGGATCGCCCAACAGGGCTTGGAAAGCATGCAACTCTTAAGTCGTATTGGATCCTTGTGCATCGTTATACTTCAATAATCCCCCGAAGTAGTTCACGCATCTTCGTTTACCCACTACGTAATCGTGCGTTTTACACCATACATAGACAGTTCCTATAAGTTGCTTAATCGCATTGATTATCATGGCAATCAAAAAGTCTGCTGCATGCTGACCCCTTCGAAGCAGAGCAAGTTTTGACATGCATTTAATTTGCTGTGTACTTTGTGGATCCCATACTCTATGCGGTGCATGCGCTGAGACAGACACACAGTCACCACTTGTGGACAGCACGCAGTACGGCACTGCGGTTCAGGTCGCTAAAGTCTACAACTTGCTTGTGTTCGCATGCAACTGTCTTAACAGACGAGACAATTTACATTCATAAACTTGACTGGTTTGTATCAGGTCGTTTGCTGGGGCCACAACTACATGAACCCTTTGGTTAAAGTGACTGAGCAACTGGTAGCAGCCTACTCATATAATTATAGTAAGGCGCAGTGTTCTACTAGTAATTCTTACGCCCGGAGCTCCCAATCAATGCGCTATCATGGCTTTGAGTACATCGATCAAGTCCGCTCATCGTTTGGCGACATCTGTTTTACTATTGTTGGGCGGAGCCTGGGATACTAGTCAGTAAGCAACGACACGTAAGAGACGGGTCAATAACGAGACAGTATAGAAGTCGGAGGCGATTGAACCCAACGTATATTGTACAGGCTACAAAAATAGGAAGCGAATCATCCAGAGCGACAAACGTGCAGCAAGGTACTCACCAAAATGGTTTGTGTCAACGGATGTGCAGTCAGTAAAACAAATGGACGTTTTGAAGGTTAAAACAACCGTAAAATCCAATGTTGCAAATTGCTGAAAGAGCGTGTTTTCCGGCACACTACACTATATGTGGTTCAAACGGAAATGTTTTCCTTTAATTATCCTGCCTGCAGTTTGTGTGGGGCAAGCCATAAAACTCAATGAAGCTGTGATAAGTCTAGTGCTCTGCCCTGCATCGCGTTACCTATTTGACATGGGCTGACTACGCTATGATCAGTAATTTGCCGAAACGGAAAGGCATTTCACTCCTAGATAGCCTTATTTCTAATTCCAGTATAACTAAACAACGGATCAGATTTACCTTTTCGTCACTATCCAGTCATGCATCAGGTGTTCATATGGACACACCATAAGTCATTAAAATCTGCGGCAGGTCTTACTCGCAACTTGGTGGCGCGGGACTTTAGATGACCATCTGAGTTGTCAGCTAATGCGACGTATTACATCGAAAATCCCCTACTCATGCGTGAAGACATTTGTTACTAGTCCATGCGTCATTGGCAGCTTTGTATGGCGAGTAGTAAAGATAATACTATTACACATGTTTTCAAAATGGGCGAGTGGTTGTTGTTCACAGAATAGTTACAGAGCATTGGTCAGTAATGATAATGCTCGTACATGAATGAGATATATATTCTCGTGCGTCTGTGCATTCTAAAATACACGGTATTTGTTGGCACGGAGTTTTATGCAACAACCAATTCCACAGGATAGCGGAGCTGGCGAAAAAGAAGTTGGATCGAATGGCTGTCCCATTTTGGCACAATTAGTTCACAAGTCTAGTTGTGCAGATTCCAGGTGGAGTTAGGTTGCAGTTATAGTGTAAACCGATTAGAATATAAGTTTCGGTTTATGAAATTGCGTGTGAGCATCAGGTTATGTTTCAGTCGTCGCAACCTAAGACGTTTGAGTTGAAGTTGGTGGTCACGCAATTGCCAGCTCAAGAGAACGATTGATTTATCACGGATAAAAAAGCAAACGCTTAACAATTTCCATAGGTACAGAGTGATATCAGATATGCATGTACCAACGTCGGTGCACTACTGAATAGTTGTTTGGTGATTGCTCTGTGCAAGAGTTTTCAGCGCTTTTCTCTTATTCGTCCGCATGTTTCCAGACATGATGCTGTCGTATTCAATACATTGGGGTCATAAGTATTTCAGAGATGAAACATTTTATACCCAACTGTTCAGATAAAGTTACAATTTATCCACTCGTTGAACAAGTTTTTCAAAATTATTTTACGTATTTTGAATTTATATGCGCGGCTGTTGCCACTCTAGCTGTCAATGCAACAATTTATGTGCTGCCTTGGCGACAGATTTGCACATCTTTATTCCATGCTGAAACGCTTTGCGGCACATGTGTTCTTCCAAATTTGCAGACGCCTTTACTGCTGTGTGCCCTGGCGGCTGTGGCCCCAATGCCCATTGTATACATGACGCGGATGGCGCAAACGTGTGTGTCTGCAACCTCATGTATGCCCCCGATCATGGAATTCCTCCCCCGACTGGAAGCTGTAGACGTAAGTTAAAAGTTTAACATAATATTCTTTGTTGATATTTGCTCGGTCATTACTGCTAGCAGTAGTATATGAGAAAGGTTCTCACTGCGAACCTGGCCAAGCACGTAACCATATAGCAGAAGTGATGAAGAATCAGGCCATTATGCTTTCGCGATAAGTTGCTCCAAATGCTAGCAAAAAAATCTGTAAAAGATACATGCATATATGCAGCAAAGTGCTGCCACGGTTTCATGAGCTGCACACACAACTGATTAATAATCTTCAGTTTTCCTATATTTGAGCCATATAATAGCTTACTTTTGCATCAGTCCGAAGAACAATGCTCACGCGGCATTGTTACCAAAGTGTAGCTTGCGTAACCAGCAGTGTTTAATTTTATTGACTTATCATTTACTTGCCCTTACTTTCGATGGATCGTCTAATTTCCCACGCTGGCTTCTCTGCAAAATGCTCTTTATTCTATGTATGAAGCGCGCCTACTGCACATAGGCAAAATCTTTTAACAGGATAGGAATTTGAAATTTCGATTATCACATCAAACTGCAAAAAATCGAATGCTCAGATGCTACTGACAACTCCAAAGATCGGACATCAACTATCATACGGTGCGGTCACCGTGCATAGTCCACACGATGTACTCAGATTAGATGTTTACACAGGTTCTTAATGATAGCTTTTGTATGACCTACTTAAATATGCCTGTTATAATTATTTTGGAAGAATTTCCGATTTCGGCGCCTGGTTTTATGTTTACAGTCAGCCCCGCTACGATCACGGTGACTGTGACACTCAGTCTGGTGGTATTGGCTCTTATGCTCTGGTTAACGTACACTATCTTGGTCGGTTCTCGGAGGAGAATAAAAGAGATGCGTCGTGCGGGAAAGAAGGACCGTAACGCTTCATGATTAGAAAGAGCATACGGGGCTGTCTCGAAATTGCACAGTTCAGTAGAACTTTTTACCGTTATGACACAACTCCATTCCTTTCCAGGATATCCCTATTTCCATAAATACAACAGCAACTTTTGACAAAATATGTTGCAGACCATTCGAAATGGCTATTTCCTTCAGTTGGCTGTACCTACGTTCGTAAATGGCACCCGTGCATACATATGCTTCTTATATTACTTTCATATCAATCGAGGAAGATGTACCTATTTTTACACATCCTTTGATAACACAAATGTTATTATTATTTTCATTTAAAACAGAATGCTTACTTTTATAAACCTTGCACCTTGAATTTTGTTGCCAGATTGTGATTTCGAATGTTGTGTACTCCATGTTTGTGATGGTCTAGCATATTGCTCACTTCTGTGTTCACCGCGAAACTTGCGCACCAGCAAGAATTTCTTCACTTGTCCAAAGCTGAATTTAGGGATCATGCTGCTTCACTTGTCACATGCGACACACCGTGGAATCCATGTGCTCTTGGATACAGAGTTTACCAAAATAGCGTAGCAGCTGTGCACTATAACGTAACCAGGTTCCTGCATGTGAATATCTTTAGTTGAAAGAAGAAGGCAGAGTTGCTTTGGGCCTCTATCCAGGTTGAAATAAATCACTGCCATTTCGGACCGCAGTCGGAGTAGACGAATATGAGGTGTCGCAAAACTACAAACCGCGCTCTACTTCTTACTCAATTATTCTCGTAAGGTAAAAATACAATTCCCTTTCTGGACGTTGAGGTATCAGCCGATCCCTTTGCGTTTAAGCCAACTAAGCTCCATATACTACAGAATTGGTCCACTTGACCGAATGGGCTGTGATTCACTCTAGAGTGCTTCGCGTGTCGTCAGCTATTGACTCTGGAGGGCTTCAAAACTACCCCACATACTCAGTAACACTTAAGACGGTGGTTGCCCATGCCTCATGCATTAGTGATGTGCGACTTCCGTCGACATCCTAAAGTGCCCCATTCCATACCTAGTCTGAAGATTGAAAATAAATACTAACCCGAGGGCAATGTTGTCAGCAATCAACACCCGACACTGGTCGGTTGGAAAATGCCCGAGTCCTGCAGTTTGGGTTAATTGGTTGTCAACTTAGGATCCGCTAAGATATATACCGTACAAGTGTGCACGAAGGTTGACATCGTGTCAACGAACTTAAAGGTCTTCCCAAGGTAACCATTCACCAGGAGGGCTACTGATTCTGTGGAACAGCACAAAAATACGCAATCTTTGTTTATGCACTTATGTTCTGACCCGCTCCTTAGTTCTGAGTTCACCTCACTATCTCCTTCTCTGTAAAAGAAGTCCGAACGAAACGAAAATCAAATCGGGTTCAATGAGCCCATTTTGAGTGAATTCATAGGTGTAACGCAAGCGTTACAGAGGTGGATAACTGATAAAGCAAAATAATCCACTCAGGCAGATGTAGTGCTGAAAACTGTACCAGGCTATAACTATTGAAACAAGTTACGAACTCGTTCTTGCTTGAGTAAATATTGAGCTGTCCAAATACTTGACATATCAGGAAAATCTCGCGTAATGTGGACCCGTGTACGAATGTGCATGGCTTTGTTCGTTTGTCAGTTCAATCAGATTCACATATATCCAGACTTCGCCCTGTCGAGGGGGGAGCGACTAGCATTCGTGAGTATTTTCGAAGCAATTTCTTCAAGAAATCAATATTTAGAAAATAATTTCAACATCGAAATGTCTCTACATCATGATACGTGTTTTACTGCTTTGGTAATTACTTTGAGATCCAAACGCAACATACTCGGGAAATAAAGGGAGGAGAATAGCTTCAATCGGGTAGCAAATGTTCATGGGCCCCTCCACAAATCAAAACAAACGCAAGCTGAAGATCCAAAATCGATTATTAATGAACAAATTGTCTTTCTTTATACTGTGCATAAATTTGTTTCCCAATTTTATTGAGGCACACTCTCAATGGATTATTCTTGCTAGCCATCTGCTTACGTTCATTGGTTCATGCTCGTCGATTCGTCCGCAGCTGTTCGAAAGAATCTCAGCTTGACTGGAACATAGCTGCGTTTTGTTCACAATCACAATCTATGCTGCACATCTGGTCGTCCCGAAGGTGATTAGTCTGCGTCCGCGGCGATGGTTAGCTGTTCACCTGCCGGCGTTGTCTTTTCCGATTGGTCGGTCAACAGCTGCCATCGCATCATGCGCCCTCCACCTGGGTCGGCGTCGTGTGCGGTCAATATGTCTGCCTTCTACCGAGATCAACACTGCAACCCGACTCCTCACTGCTCACCCGGCCCGTACAACCGTGACCAACTTGCGTTCGCAGTGCTGATTAGATTTCCAGTCCCCTGGCACGTGTCGGTTGCGCTCACGTAACCTACGGGCTAACATCCTACCGCACACGCAGGGACAAGCCGTGGAATCAAACAACGGAGTACCTCGAGAGACTTGGGTCGAGAGGTGTAGAACGATGGTATTTAAACTTTAGTAAATAGTTCGTTCACTTTAACGGGCCCATTAAAACCACTTCGGAATGTCCCTCGCCCCTAGTTCAATGAAGTAAGGAGTTCAGATATTCACCGTCGATCCGAGGATATAGGCAATACCTACGAGGTTGCTGCCAACCATCTTCTTTAGCTTTTGAGCCGTTCGGTGACAGTTAACGAGATTTTAAGCAAGGTATGAGGTTGTCTAAGAAGGCCTTTCGTTTGAAAGATGAATATATGTTCAGACAGCAGACACGTAAAATCATGTGTTCTGCATAATACAACAAGGTTGACCCTTTCAGTACGAGGATTATGACAATGCGAATAGAAAGTACCAGTGAAGACACACTGGGTCCTTGAATAACCATGAAACTGGTAGAGTGTGACAAGGTGTTTTTCTTTTCTGGCAAACTGGGTAGGTTTGGTAACATAATCCATGAAGCAAACGAAAGCGTTGCTGCTCCCAAGGAAACAGCTAATCGCGTGTTCGTAAGTGTTGTCTGGTGCTGAAACTACGGTGTTCACAAAAATTCACGGTGTCCATGGTGCGGACTGAACTTCGGTAAGCGAGTTGATGTGGATCGTCCAAACCCGTCTGGGCGAACGCACTTCCAGGAGTAATCCTACCGAAAATTTTAAAAGTCATAGACATGAAAGCTATACACTTATTTTTGCGTGTTTTTCCCGACACCGGCGTGATGCAATGGCTTCAAAGTCTATCACCCATCTTAGGTTACTTAAAGGATAAGGTGTAAAAGTCAGCGAACGTCAGTGCAAGGAATCAGTGTGTTCCCTGATGTAAACAGGAGAATCTGTCTTACAGGGTAATTTACTCGATTCTAGCAAATTATGGATGTACTGCGAAACTATCAACGCAATCCGAATTAACTGAGGTCAGTAGTAACTGAGCAGATAATAAGCCATCGACGGAATCAGTGTTCCAACCAATTGTTTAGGATTTATTTTCTTTTACATCCGGAGTAGTACACGTGGCATCAAAGCCGGTTTTGTTTAGCTTTCCCAAATCTCCAGTTCATTACCAAGTACCGTTTAAAAGTATGGTTAGGACGCACATGCATTTGAGGCAGCACGATTTGTGTTTGATGTCGGTTTCACACTTGATCAATGTCTGAACTCACGGTAAGCCCAGTGAAGCATAATCGTTGTCTAGATGCGGTGCAGTATCATTTACGGTGTCCGATGTTTTACAACTTTGGCGGCATTTTAAAGCAACCTTCTGAAGCCACAAGTTAAGTGTCGTTAACTTTTATGCCCAATCCATGGTAACGCTTACTTGCGTTTGCAAAAGAAAGTGAATAGTAATCTATCCTAGTTCATACTAAAACATTTATAGATGTTATACCACAGAACTCTTCTAGTTGAACCGTAGCCTTAGTTGTTCCACCGAAGTTTTGTTAAATAACGGGTACAGACAATCTACGGTTTAGCTGAAGCCCTGGATAAACGTAGGTTTTTACTCCAAGCCACATTGCTTCATCTGAACTGTAACGAAACTCGGGACCATTCACTCCGAATCGGCTCTTGACTTTTTGCGAGTTGTGTGATGGGCATGAATGAGGAAGTGCTGGTAACGTTCACTATCACATACCAAAATTTGCTGCCGACAAAATTTTTGATAGATTATGTGTATACCAAATATTCGGCATACATGTAACCCAGTCATAATGGAAGGTGGTTTAATAAATACAAATGGAACTCGTGCAAAATCTTTGGCTCATAAACTTGTTTTATTGAAAATGATAGTAACGGCATTAGCTAGTTAGTTTGTTTAATAACAATCAGTAATAAATAAAATGGTTTGTATGCCAAGATGCGCCGCGAAGTGCAGCAGTTACCAAATATACACAAAGTCAGCATTATTAAGCACACTGTGTCGGAGTAGTAACAACCGGTCCTGAATGTGGCACCCAGTCGTGTGTGTATTTGGATTCGAACACAATGGGCTATATTCTTTGAAGCCACAATAAGACTAGAGGGATGAAGCGTACACACGGGGCCAATGTCAGCAGAACAACTCACTGAGCATAATACGACTGCAGGCAACTATGAACGGTTGGTAGATGTAAGACAAAGATAGATTTGTTGTCATGTTTTACGGCAAGATTACATAAGAGATAAGGGTTATCTTTTGGTTTGTTTCAACTAGCTCGGAAAATTTGACAGCTGCTAGAAAGTGGCAAATCACATACGCCTACTTAGGCGGTTTTTTTGTCATCTGTTTTACACTGAATTTTTAACGCCAACGCAGTTACAGCAGTAAAAGTTAGGTAGCTTGAGTATGTGCGCACAACCAGCCGTTTAAGTACTGTAGCTGTGCTTCAGCCCACATAAGTGGGAAACTGTGATCACCGGTTATTGTACAATGCGAAAATAATAGTTCGTTAACTAGCTACTGATGTCGACATATGCCAGCAGTTAATTAACTGAATATGCGAGCGTAATTGCTTGAACATAGTAGCACACTTTCATTCCTCCATGTTGAACGACAAACTACAGTTTTCAGTGCAATTCACACAGTAATCTTTCACCTGTTTACAATTAATAAGTCTAATTCCTACAGTAGTTCATTTTTTCGCCGGGCATGGTAATTTGGCTGCAGACATTTCGTCACCATCCGAGGTGACGTCATCAATGCAAAATTACCTGTAGCTTTGTCGCACAAATCTTATCAAACAAATCCAGGAATAGATGACACAAGTTACTGTGTCGGTGCTCATTTAAATTGTCGAAGATACTAAATGCGCTTCACCCTGACTAACTTTTCTTCAATGTACTCAATGGGATTGGATTGATTTTGTTTGGTTACGAGTATAAGGTTCTGACGTGGGGTGAGACTTAGAAGCAAACACAATATACCATTGTTTCAGCTATAACGCGCAGCAGGCAATACAACAATAAGTACGGCAATAAATACTAGGAAGTTTAATGAACTGGTCATCGTGCTACCAGCTGAAAAGCTACGGAAGACAGTC